ACTAAATTCAAACACCATAATCTACAAATAAATAGCGGCGTGCACCACAGTAGCCGGAGCAATTATGCGTTTTGCGTGGTTAAGCCCAGCAAGCATTTGTCCGCTAAGGATTTTCACCGTTTTGCACTTGGTCTGTGTAAAAATAGTTAAGATGTTGCCTGGTTCCTAAGTTGCGAAATTTCCCAACAAAAGTTTCACGTGCCGGCATGTGAAATGCGAGCGCACGTGCAGGCTAAATTTGAAGCCATATACAGTGGACATCTTTCAAAATTTTAACCTCCTAGTTGAAACTCGTTGAAACTCTTCGTGAAAGTTGAATTCGAATTTGTGGGGTCGCGCGTGGGTGGGGAACATTATTCTAAAATTTCATCTCCGCAACTTTTGTTGTCCCCGAGATAATTTTCCTCGCCAAAACTTTCACAGGGCTACGCGTGATATCTGGATTTGCGAGAAGGCCGTGTTTAAACTTACGGGGTTGTATATGGGCAGGAAACACTACCTTAAAAGTTCAGCTTCCTAGCTTCCACGGTTACCAAGATAATAATTTTCCCCATCAAAACTTTCAAAGGTATCCAGGCGTAGGAGATTGCTGAAATTAAATTTGCGGGGTCACACGCGGGCAGGGAACATTCTCTTAGATTTTCAGCTTCCTAGCTTTTGTGGCTCACGAATCGAAAGCTCTAGACAAAATGCACTCGAACACACAAACACACACAGATAACTTTGCGACAAAATGCTTTTTGTGCAGCTGCTACAAAGCAAAAGACGCATAAAAAATGTAAATCAATACCTTGTACGCAGCCTGGTACTCTTAGTACCACAGGTTTCAGTACACGATGACCAAGAGGACCAGTCAGTCCATTCCGGACATAACTTCTCAATGCATGCTTCGTATTCTTCTGCTTCCCCGGCACAGTTCCTGCCGCTGTCACATAACCTTACTCGACGCTAAAAAATATTTTGGCAAAATGAAAAAGGAAGATTTGTAAGGCGAGAAATGCTATTTTGATCAGTTCACAGCCAGAAAAATCTCTAAATTATGCCAGAAAAAAATTATGGAAGGAACACTTCTGCTGTTATCAATTGCAACCAAACTCACACTTTCAAGCTCAGCTCATTTGTAGAGGAGGAGCACCTTTTCTATCAGTAGGTAAAATTGACAAAATTCCAACCGGATTGTTTTTCAAGTCCAGTTCCTTGCTAAACGCTATTTTAATAACTTCAGAAATAACCTTTTCTCCTCGCCCACAGGAAGTACTGCACTGACTCCATGGCTGCCATGATGACCAGGAAGGACAAGGCGCTCGTTCGCACGATTTTTCTTCGTACGCTTCACCGACGCATGAATCACCACCAATGCACTGCCCAAAATTTGTCAGGTTTTTTAGTCAATTCAAAGAGTATGTGCGATTTGCATTTTGCAGTTTTTAGCACTTAATTTTGTTTATGTGGACAACAAAGCAACAGGAACGAAGGCAGATCACCAGAATCGTCATCAGGCTGACTAACAGAAGATGTCGATCAAAATAACTGTAAAAATTGTCGGCTGCATAGTTGGAGAATCGGACTGTGAATTAGGAACTGATTCAAGTAACTTAATTAAGCGGATACTGAAATTAATCCATAAAATAAATAAAAATTTCAGTCTGATACTCGTACGAACCTTTGTCGTCTTTGTTGCCCAATTCCGCAGGTCACTGAACAAGATTCCCAACTGCTCCAAGCAGACCACTGCGAGCATTTCTCAGTGTTGCAGGCTCGAACACTCTAAATATGAACTTTTGTTTATTAACAACAGATAAAATGAAAATTTATCAAAAGTGAGCCCGCGGACTGCCGGTGTGGGATCTTCCTGAAATGTAGCCACTCACGAGACGCAGATCAGCCTAGATCTATTAATAAGGAGCTGTCTCCCTCCAGTTATAACGGTCACGTAATCCATCCAATACGGCCGTAATCTCTTCTCGAACTACCTGAACGAATTTATAACGCTCAAGCTTTTGTAGTACCTTGCCAACCAGAATGTTATATAATTATTTCACGTCACA